GCAATCCTCTCCCTCACTCCAACCTTCCAGCCTCTTCAGCTCCAACCCTGTGTACCACTGAGGCGGGTGAGGAACAGTTTGTGGCCACTTTCTCCGCAAGACCTGCTTAGGGGGCAGAGCACCCCCATTTGGATTAAGGGGCTATTTGTCAGCTATTGGGCCAGTCTCGTCTTTTTGAGTCCTTAGCCTAAAATTAGTCAGATAATGAATAACAAATTATTAGGTATAATAAATAAAGAAAAAAGAATAAAAAGAAGGAAACATAATGGCAGGTGTCATGAATTGAAATAAAGGAAGTTACAGAAAGAGAAAGTGCAAGTGTCAGGGCGGCCTTGGGCAGCCAGGAAACCAGGCTGGGCACTGGTTGGTGACCCTTGAGCCTGGTCCGAAGGCAGCAGGGACAGGAGCCCTCCGTGCTGGGACTTGGAGCAGAGGGAGCTCACTTACTGTGCTTGAGGAGCTGCAAGGAGTCAGGATGGCTGGAGCAGAGGGAGCCAAGGGGAAGGAGGTGGGTGAAAATGTTAGGTCGCTGGGGTGAGGTTGGGGCATAAATGCTCACTGTTAAAGCTGGGTAAGTGGTGTAAGAGGAAATATTGTACTATTCTCTCCACCTTTGTGTATTTTGAAATCTTCTCTAATGCAAAGAAAGCCAGAAAAATTCGTATCTGGCACTTTGAGCTCCAACAGGGGGAGTTGAGCTCCAGGGGGAGGTGACTCTACTAAGAAATATACGGTGAACAAATTCTCCACGCACAAAAAGGAGTTCAGATGTCACAAAAGAATAATGAGCGGTCTCTGCTACACCTCAGCCTGTTAAAGGGAAAACTTACATTAGCGGAGCATTCGACTGTTAGGCATAAAGTTATGCACAAGAGTGTATGGTCAGGTCACAAGAAGAAGGCCATCTGATAGTTGGACAGGCAGGAACTGTGCGACTTGGGTTTGCCTTGGGTGTGTTACTCTTTTGGAAGGCATGCATTTGTAATGAGGTCAGTGATTGAAGACTGAATGAACCAGCAAAAATAGATGAATGAATGCAGGGATCTCCTGGATGCATAAGAAGCCAGAGACCCAGAGACCGAGAGGGGATGATAGAACAGAAGGAACAGAAACCAACAGAGGGCCTGAGGGCTATTCTGAGTCTGAGAAGAATAAGTTAAAGGCACACGTGTAAGCAGATTTGTATTTTAATTAAGAGAGGAAGCCAAAGGCCAGCCCATATGGCTCCTGGTTGAGCATCGGTCTATGAACTAGAGCAAGCATGTCAAACTGACAGCCGGCGAAGTACATGTGCTGTAGTGGTTGAGACTCGTTCCACCTTCCAAGCAGCAATTCAGCTTCAGGAACACATTATCCATCAACTAAATTAATGTTATTTCAAATTCTATTGGTATATAGATTAGTCTGCATACTTTGTCATTTTGGTTTTTGCTTTTTAGACATAAAAGAGCTATAACCCTAAGGCAGCTCTACCTAGCTTTATGTTAACATGTATTTAAACAACATTATAGTAAAAAATAATTTTAACACTGCAGGACCCACAAGAATATTTGTTTCTTTCAAAGGGGTTCCATACATTGTTCAAGTTTGAGAAATTCTGCCTAGAGGACTCAGAAGCAGGTTTACAAACTGACATCTGCATTTGAATTGATTTGAATATTGAATATTTTGCTACTCCCTGTGCCTTTCATTTCCCATGACATTTCAAATACTTATTTTTAGAATGCTTGCCAAATTCTTATGGCCCGTCTCCAGCCAGTCATCAGGAAAAACCCCAAAGGAAGCTGGGAGGACTGGGTGAGTGGTCCGCATTGTCCTGCCCAGAGAAGGCAAATGCATCCGGATAGGTAGGTAAAGCCCTCAGAGCGTGGCTGGTTGGCGGTGCCCACTCAAGAAGCAAAACATTTATTAGCGCTCACTTCTGCTTTTCTGAGAGTGAGTCTGTGTTCATCCGGTGGCTTCACTGAAGAGCCTCGTCTCTCACCGCTCTACCGTAGAACACACCTGACAATGGCCTAGTGCTACTGCAGAACACACCTGACAACGGCCTAGCGCTACCATAGAACACACCTGACAACGGCCTAGCGCTACCATAGAACACACCTGACAACGGCCTAGCGCTACCATAGAACACACCTGACAACGGCCTAGCGCTACCATAGAACACACCTGACAACGGCCTAGCGCTACCATAGAACACACCTGACAACGGCCTAGCGCTACCGTAGAACACACCTGACAATGGCCTAGTGCTACTGCAGAACACACCTGACAACGGCCTAGCGCTACCGTAGAACACACCTGACAATGGCCTAGTGCTACTGCAGAACACACCTGACAACGGCCTAGCGCTACCGTAGAACACACCTGACAATGGCCTAGTGCTACTGCAGAACACACCTGACAACGGCCTAGCGCTACCGTAGAACACACCTGACAATGGCCTAGTGCTACTGCAGAACACACCTGACAACGGCCTAGCGCTACCGTAGAACACACCTGACAATGGCCTAGTGCTACTGCAGAACACACCTGACAACGGCCTAGCGCTACCGTAGAACACACCTGACAATGGCCTAGTGCTACTGCAGAACACACCTGACAACGGCCTAGCGCTACCG